ACATACGGGTTGGTCTCAAGTCACCGAGACCCAACCGCTGAAAGATCGAGAATGGCATAAGGTTGATTCCCGCTCCGAGGTCAAGCATCCCCGAAGCTTCCTTTCCATTTCCGAGGGCTATTTGAATCACGAAGCCTCCGGGATCTCGTTCTTTCTTTGGAAGATCATGCTGCATAGCGCTTGCAGCCTCGTAAACCACTACCTTCTCCCCGTCTCCGAATTTCCTCTTCTTCGTTACGAAGTCCTTGAAGAACTTCACGTACGAGGGCATACTCTTGATCACGTCCAGGAGTGGCAGGTTGACGTTGACTTTCGAGAGCATGTTATATAGGTCCCGAAATTGCTGCTCCTGCTTCTCGTCCCGGAGTCGGCTTGGGAAGGGTATGCTTGGTTTGAAAGGGTTTGGTGACTTGTGCAATATTGGGCCGTCTGTCTGCTTCCTTGGCTCAGCTTCTGTATTCTTCCTTGGGCTCTCCTCTACTCTTTTGGGCTGGTCGGTTGGTGTAAGGTCATCGGGCTCGGGCATTTTCACATGGTTGTCTACCTCTTTCCCGCTTCTCAAAACCGTGACTGCCTTGGCTTCCTTGGGCTGGCTGGGTAGCTTCCCCTTGTCTGAGTCTGCCTCCATGTTCCCAACTCTTGTAGCCAACTGGCCCAACTGTGTTTCCAAGCGTTTGATAGAAGCATCAGTGTTCACGCCCCTTTGCTCACTGTTTGCCATAAACTGGAGAATCTTGTCCAGCTTGTCGTCTTGGTTAGCTGCACTGGGTCCGGCCCCTTGTGTTTGCATTCCTCCCATTGGGTTCCTCTGCTGTTGCTGATGCTGTTGTTGAGGGTAGTTTGGCCCCATCTGTTGTTGGGGAATGAAGGTGGGTCGGGGCTGTTGCTGCATGAAGTTCTGCCGAGGAGGCTGCTGGATGTTGTTGTTGTTAGACCATGAGAGATTTGGGTGATTTCTCCACCCCGGGTTATACGTGTTTGAGTATGGGTCGTTGGCCGGCCGGTTCTGGTAGCCTTGAAGAGCATTGACATCTTCGTATTGTTCCCCATAATCTTGATCAAAAGCTGATGGGCACACCTCCGACCTGTGCCCTTGTACTCCACATGCTCCACACGCTTCTACGGCCATGGTTTGCATTGGTTGGCCTCCCCTTGCATTCAGTAGCCGCATCTGCTCTGTGAGCTCGGCTAGCTGTTGTGCCATCATGTCTCGTCCTGGAGATACTTCATTCACAAAAGTCCTCTTCCCTCGACTGCTCTTTTGAGACGAGTTAGAACTCATCGCCTCAAAAATATCTATCATCTCTTCTGCCGTCTTCGCCCCAATATCTCCACCAGCTGCATTATCCACCATGTATTGAAGATTCTGATGGAGGGAGTCATAGAAACTGTTCACCAGAAGGGCCGGAGGGAAGTTGTGGTGTGGGCATTGCCTCTGGAGGTCTTTGAAACGCTCCCATGCTTCACGAAGTGGCTCGTTTGGCTGTTGGGCAAAAGAAACGATCTGGGACCGAAATTCCTGAGTTTTCTGATGAGAGTAATACTTCCCAATGAACTTGGTGTACACTTGCTCCCAAGTGATTAGGGAGTCGGGAGCAAGTGTCATAAACCAAGCCTTAGCTCGGTCCTTGAGTGTCTCTGGGAAACATCTCATCTTCAGCTGGTCTTCGTTTAAGCCATGGAGAGGAAAAGTCTGGAGGACGTTATAGAACTCCCGAATGAAATGAAGTGGGTCCTCGTTGGGTAGACCATGGAAAGACGGCAGCTGATTGTAGTGAATGGTTTTTAGCTCATAGTTTCGAGCTGCTGGTCCCAGCCGGATACACGAAGTTACTGGCCCGATTCTCGGTTGAGCCAATTCACGAAGAAGATGGCGAGGTGGGTTGTTTACTTCTTCGTCAGCCATGTCTCTTGTGTTATCGGAATCTTGGTTGGCTGAGTCTGAGGATTCAGGGGCAAGGTTAGCCAACAGTTCTTGGAGGTCCCTCTGGATGGATTCGTTATTCGGGATGATTACACGACCACTTCTGGTACGCATAAACAAAAACAACAAAAACGTCACGGGTACCAGATAGATAAGAAAAAGACGAAGAAAAACGAACAAAGAGAAACACACAAAACAAGAAATCACAGAAATAAGAGAAACACTGAAAACAAATTGAATAGGCGCACAAAATAAGTCCTAAACCTTCCCCGGCAACGGCGCCATTTTGTTGTAGTTCTTTTTTCCGGAGTTAAATCAAAAGATTCGAACACCGGGTCGTGTCTCAAGGAAGGTTAGCCGGATTATTTTGTACGATTCTTCAAGCACAGAAATGGAAAATAAAAGAAGTGAAAATCCTAAACATTCTAAATCAAGTTTGGAGATTTGATTATCGTCTACGAATTTGAAAAGCAAGTAATTGAACAGGGCAAACAAACTAGGAATCACAAATTCAATATATAATGAAGGAGCTAGGGTATCGGGGTCGATCAATTCCGGTTCTCAATACACTTAACGAGCAATCAAGAGCTCGGTTGAACGTTTCGCTAAACTACTCATCTAGAGGTCTATCCTCAATAACTCTTCGTAACAAGAGGATAGACATAAATAAGCAATTCTTGAAGCAATCAACACATAAGCAATACTATTACGAACAAGCTTATTCCTAACGAGCCTAGATCGAACGATTTCTCCCTTTTCAGTTTTAAAATCGATTAGATAGATCAAGATGGTGATCAATCATCAAAACCCTAAATTAAGCACAACTCGAGAGGATTGAGCAATTATCATGCATATAAATAAAATCAAACCGGAACGATCTTCCCTTAACCCTAGCTAAAGGATTTAGCTACTCATAATGCATTCAACTCCAACACATATAATAATCAAAGCCATTCAATCAATAAGAAGATGAAACGAAAGCTTACGATTGAATAATCCAATGTTGAATACACGAATAACTGAATCCACAAGCTTAATCTTGGTGTTTTCACAATCCTAGATCAAATCCTATGAAGAACTAAGAGAAAAACTGTTTTGGAGTGAATAATAATGAGAGAAAGTCTAAACCTAGGTGAAAAGTGAATGAAAAACTGATCAAAAAACGAAACTTAAAAATCTGCTGTCGCGACCTCCGCGGCCGCGACTTAGACCTCCGCGGCCGCGGCGAACAACATCTCGCGGCCGCGACTTCCTCCGCGGCCGCGACCTCCCCGAGCCAGAAATTGGAATTTACGTGCACCTCGCGGCCGCGACCTCCTCTTCTCCGCGGCCGCGGCGAAGAATTTCTGAACTTTGGTTTTCGGGTTCGTCTTCTCTCGTCCGGACTCGGAATTTGATCCCGTCTTCTCCAACACGACCCCAACTCATCCAACTAGACAGTAGACTTCGCGTAGTCATACACCGATCCACCAAACCTGCACATCACCACCGACAAGAAATACGGAAAACCGGGGAAAACGAACAAAAAGACCAAAAACGACTAAAACAAAGGATAAGTACGAGACGACTCGAAACGGACCAAAAACCAAAGAAAAATACCTAAGTAGGGGAAAAACAAGCATGAAATAGACAAAGAAAACATGACAAAAGTGGAACGAACAACAATTCTACTACACTATTTAACAATATTCATTTTTTATTATATAATAAAATAATATTAAATATTATATGGTTAACAACAATAAGTAAAACTGTTACTTTATCTTATATCAAGGGATAAATTTATATGATAAAATTAAATTTTCATTAGTATAAATGTTTTAGTGAGATAATATATTAATTATTTTACAAGCTAACCCTAACATGCTCATATTTAATGTCTTAAAAGATGTAGAAAAAAACTTATAATAACTCTATTGTTTTTTAGACTTAAACGTTGATTAAAAGTGGTAAAAATTCCTAATTTTTTTAGACTTAAACGTTGATTAACACCATAGATTGAGAGCCTATATTTAGTAAAATTCCTAATTGTAATAAAAAAATTTATTTTTGCTATATTTTAGAATATCTTTAAATGTATTATAAAAAAAAAAACTACAATGAAAAAAGCAAGTAAGTTATATATCGATTTGTTGTACTCCTCAAATCACATTCACAATTTGGCTACAAGGAAAGGAAACTCATTGATTAAAATATTATTTTGTCAGTAGTCTTAATGTACAAGAGACTTTAAGACTCCACTTGAATATTATAAAACTTTTGTTGAACATTGTACAATTTTCTTGCGTATTATAAACTTTTATTGAATATTGCATCTTATAATATAATATTTTTCAAATAAATATATCCCGTGCTTCGCACGGGTCACGTACTATATATATCCCATATATTTTTCTTTATTCATGTATATAATTATAAGTCTGGATAAATAACCTTAAAATTGTGCACCCTGTGCATCGCACGGGCTCTGTACTAGTTATTCATTTAAAAGCTTATACTTGGAATCAAACATGATCGCTAAAATAATTAAAATATAAAAGATTCTTTATTTATTTGTTCCTTTATTTATTTAGAAATGTCATTATGCATTGTAAAATAAATATACAACAACATATTATATATATAAAATAAATAATAATTATATATTAATTAAACGGTTCGACCGGTTCGACTACTAGTCAGATCAGTGAACCATTGAACCAGTACCTTCACCGATTCGTGATCGGTTCGGTTTTCAGAATATATTTATTCTATTCTTGAGAAACATAGGCATTTTATTTTTTATTTTTAATTTGGATCTCATGCTAGTTTTGAAGTTGGCGAAGAGTTCGTATTTCAGCTCGATACGGATATCAACTTTTTAATGAAAAAATAATAATTTACGTTTATCTTGCAAAGATCTTTTGTTTAGAGTTGACATATAAATTGGAATTTGCAAGAGGGAACAAACTGGATGATGAAGATAGACCGCGGACCAATCAGGACGTCCGACTCGTCCACGTGTCAGCCACTGAGCAAATTCGCATTGACCTGACAAATTATTGTGGATGGCAAGAAAATGCCCCAATCAATTCTCAAAAAAAAAAAAATATCAGAAGAGATAAAGAAAGTGAGGCTAAGCCAAATAGACTCTGAAAATCAAGAAGATATAAAGAAAGTAAGGCTAACCGCATTTTTTTTGCTCTTGCTGAGTTCATATTTGGGTAATTTGCACTTTCGATTTTTGGTTTTTTCTGTTTTTAGCCAATAAATGGCAGCGGCAGCTTCCACTTCAATGGCGGCCACCGCCGTGTTGATGCACCGCCTCCCGGCGACAATTAACGGCGTCGTTTTCTGCCCTTTTCCCCAACGTCCTTCTCTCTCGTCTGCCCCGCTCAAACTGCTCAAAGGTACAAGCTTTTGGGGGGCTCTGTAATTTTATTTTATGGACTGCCCTTTACATTCAATGCAAAAGGTTAGGTTTTTGCGTGACCACTGGATATAGAGATTATTGGAGTCCGAAATTATTGTGTGAGGCGACCTAATCATTAGACGGGTCGATCCATCAAATTTTTTAATTTTTTTTTTTTTTTTTTTTTTTCTAGAGAAGGACATTTCAGTTTAAAAGTATGTTTGTCTAAAATTTAGATTTGTTTAACATAAGTCTTACTATCTATATATATATAATTGCTAGCTAAGCAATAAATTTTACCTAATAAATAAAACCTAATAAATTTTACCTATGTGGCAAATCATTAATAAAACCTAATAAATAGAACTTAATAAATTTTATTTATGTGGCATTAATACACCCAATCTCATTAATAAGAAAATATTTCATTACATTTTTTGGGTTAATTAAGACAAAAACCATTATATTTTATGTTAATTGATTAATAATTATATTTTTTATTGAATAATATAATAGTTAATATTAAAATTAGTAATTATATTTTATACTAAATAATATATGAAAGTTACATAAAATTATATTTTACACTAAAATCAATATTTTTTTATACGATGAAGATGTTGTTTATTAATAAATTAATTTTGTTTATGTCATAGTAAAATTTCATAAAATCACATAAGCAATTGTTATAATAAATGTAATATTTTTCAGCTAATTAATTGGTCATGATCACTCAAAATTATAAGAAGTATATATTTATTGCATTTTATGCAATCAATATAGTGATTCATATACAATCAAATCGTGTGTACTATTTATTTTAACCAATGATCAAATTTTAAAATATAATACTATTATACAATTTATAAATTTAATGTTATATACATAAATATAACTTATAATATTTAATTTTATTTACATTTGTGCAAATGCACAAGGTTGAATACTAGTTGGGTAATTATGTTACATTTTATGTGTTCAGGTGAATTCGTTTGATTGTGTTTCTGGAGGATTTTGTAGCAACTGTTAGTTTATTGGTTTGTTAGTGTAATTAATTTCTCTTAAAGGATAGTAATTATCTCTTGGAATAAAAATTCAAGCTGTGATTTTGAGTGTTGATTGTTGCCTTCTGCTGTATAATTTGAGGTCCTTGATGCTGTTAACTTCAATTGTGATTAATACATTTTGCATTAATGCAGCGCAAGTCATCTTTTTGAAAAAAAGAAAAATTTAAAAATTTGAAATGATTTTGAGTAGTATTTGATGCCGTTTATGTTAGCCATCAATTGTTGACACCCGCCATTTTTTGACAATGAAGAGAGGCAGCCCTTAAAAAATTGCAGCAGCCCTCATGTTGATTTTTTTGTGGAAAATTAAGCACACACATATTGAAAAAGGTGTGCACTTCTACTCTATAAATAGAGATGGATTTCGATGAACAAAAGGCACCACAACAAAAAGAACCAAATACAGAGAGAAAGAGAGAAAAAAGAAAGGGAGCAGAAAACAAAACTTTTAGCTACTGTGTGTATTTGAGTTGTGAGTTGTGAGTGAGTTTGATAGTGTTTGTAAACACGAGTGTTTTCTTTTCTCCTAATAAAATATCTGCAGTAGTCCGGAGACGTAGGCATTATTGGCCGAACTCCGTTATCAATTTGGTGTGTCCAATTTTTATTTTTATTTCACTTTTATAGATCCGACTTCATGGAAATTTCAGCGTATTTTTCCCAACAACTGGTATCAGAGCCAGATTGTTAATTCTGTATTTTTTTGTGTGGTGTTACTATTCCGTTGAAAAACGTGAATAGTACCAATTTTGTCGGCGCTACAATTTATCTACCGACGTGTTTTGAAACACGGTAGTTCACAAAAATTACAGAAACGATCCGGCAGAGAAGTCAGATCAGAGTCGAAGTGATGGCTGCAGACGAAGGAAAAATGAAAATCGAAAAGTTCGACGGTGCGGACTTTGGCTTTTGGAAGATGCAGATCGAGGATTATCTGTACCAGAAGAATATGTATCAACCACTCACAGGAAAGAAGCCAGAGGACATGAAGGAGGAAGAATGGAGTCTCCTTGACAGACAAGCTCTTGGAGCCATCCGGCTGACGTTATCCCGTAATGTTGCTTTTAACATTGCAAAAGAAAAGACGACAGCAGGCCTCATGAAGGCTCTTTCCAACATGTACGAGAAACCATCGGCCTCAAATAAAGTTCATTTGATGAGGCGATTGTTCAACCTTCGGATGACCGAAGGTGCTTCGGTGGCACATCATCTCAATGAGCTCAACACCGTCACAACCCAGTTGAGTTCAGTTGAGATCGAGTTCGATGATGAAGTACGGGCTTTAATACTTTTGTCTTCCCTACCAGAAAGTTGGAATGCTACGGTCACGGCTGTGAGTAGCTCATCGGGAAGCAATAAGTTGAGATTTGATGATGTCCAAAATTTGGTTCTCAGTGAAGAGATCCGGCGGAGAGAGTCGGGTGAACCATCGACCTCTTCTGTATTGCATACAGAGTCAAGAGGAAGAAGTTCAACCAAAGAAAGCAGACACAACAAATCAAAAGGAAGAAGATCCAAGTCCAGAAATCATCGTAGTTCCCAAACCTCGAAGTCGATCGAGTGCTGGAATTGTGGGAAGACCGGGCACTACAGAAACCAGTGCAAGAGTGCACCGAAGGGTCAGGAGGCAAAAGAAGAGGCAAATATTGCTTCAGCCTCTGGAGGAGATTCGCTGATATGTTCTTTAGAGAACAAGGATGAGTCTTGGGTGTTAGACTCTGGAGCATCCTTTCATGCTACCTCACAGAAGGAACTACTCGAAAATTATGTTCCTGGTAACCTTGGTAAAGTTTACCTTGGTAATGAGCAATCATGTGAGGTTGTAGGGAAAGGTGCAATAAAAATCAAGCTGAGCGGGTCTGTATGGGAATTGAAAAATGTTAGACATATTCCCGACCTGACGAAGAATTTAATCTCCGTGGGCCAGCTAGCCAGTGAAGGCTACACGACAATCTTCCATGGTGATGATTGGAAGATTTCAAAGGGTGCGATGACAATTGCTCGAGGCAAAAAGAGTGGTACTCTTTACAAGACCACAGGAGCATGTCATCTGATTGCAGTTGCAGCAAATGAAAGTCCCAATCTATGGCACCAAAGACTTGGGCATATGAGTGAAAAAGGGATGAAGATCATTCACTCAAAAGGAAAATTACCAGGCCTCCAGTCAATAGAAATTGACATGTGTGAAGGTTGTATACTTGGAAAGCAGAAGAGAGTCAGCTTTCAAACAAGTAGAAGAACTCCAAAGAAGGAGAAGCTTGAGCTCGTCCACTCTGATGTTTGGGGTCCAACCACTGTCCCATCCGTTGGTGGGAAGCAATACTTCGTGACTTTTATCGATGATCACTCCAGAAAGGTATGGGTTTACTTTCTGAAACACAAGTCAGAAGTATTTGAAGCTTTCAAGATTTGGAAAGCTATGGTGGAAAATGAGACAGGCTTGAAGATCAAGAAGCTCAGATCCGACAATGGTGGTGAATACGTAACCACCAGATTCAAGAAGTTTTGCTATGAGCACGGGATCAGAATGGAGAGAACCGTGCCTGGTACGCCTCAACACAATGGTGTAGCTGAGCGTATGAATCGAACGTTGACTGAAAGAGCCAGAAGCTTGCGTGTGCAGTCAGGCCTACCAAAGCAGTTCTGGGCAGAAGCAGTCAACACAGCAACTTACTTGATCAACCGAAGTCCATCGGTACCACTGGATCACAAGTTACCAGAAGAGGTATGGAGCGGAAAAGAAGTAAAACTCTCACATCTTAGAGTTTTCGGGTGTGTAGCATATGTGCACATCAGTGATCAAGGTAGAAACAAACTTGATCCAAAATCAAAGAAATGTACTTTCCTTGGTTATGGTGAAGATGAGTTTGGCTACCGCATATGGGATGATGAAAACAAAAAGATGATCCGCAGCAGAGATGTCATCTTTAATGAAAGAGTGATGTACAAGGACCGGCATAATACAGGTGCCAGCAACTCAGAAGCGAGTGGGCCAGTTTATGCTGAGGTGGAAGATATCCCAGACAGTCCTATAATGAGGAGTCCTCAGTCAGAGGAATCAAATGAAGAAAGTGATGTGCAATCAGAACCTCCTACTCCAGCTCCTGTATTGAGAAGGTCCTCTCGGCCCCATGTGCCTAACAGGAGATACATGGACTACATGCTGCTGACTGATGGAGGGGAGCCTGAAAGTTACATGGAAGCTTGTCAAACCACAGATGCTAGCAAGTGGGAGCTTGCCATGAAGGACGAGATGAAGTCCTTGATCTCAAATCAGACATGGGAACTAGTCAAGTTACCTATGGGAAAGAAAGCACTTCACAACAAATGGGTGTATCGAGTGAAGGAAGACCATGATGGTTCCAGGAGATACAAAGCCCGACTGGTTGTCAAAGGATTTCAGCAGAAAGAAGGAGTTGACTATACTGAAATCTTTGCTCCAGTTGTAAAGCTCAATACTATCAGGACGGTGTTAAGTATTGTGGCTAGTGAAGAGCTCTACCTAGAGCAATTAGACGTGAAGACTGCATTTCTTCACGGAGACCTAGATGAGGAGATCTATATGCACCAGCCTGAAGGATTTTCAGATGGAAAGAAGGATATGGTGTGCAAATTGAAGAAGAGCTTGTACGGCCTGAAACAAGCTCCAAGACAGTGGTATAGGAAGTTCGAAAGCTTCATGCACAAGGAAGGCTTCCAGAAGTGCAATGCTGATCACTGTTGTTTCTTCAAGAAGTATGAATCCAGCTATATCATCTTGCTACTTTATGTTGATGACATGTTAGTAGCAGGATCAGATAAGAAAGACATCAGAAAATTGAAGATGCAGTTGTCAAAAGAATTTGACATGAAGGACTTAGGCCCAGCAAGGAAGATTCTTGGAATGCAAATCACGAGAGATAAGCAAAAGGGAGTTTTGCAGTTATCTCAAGCAGAGTACATCAACCGTGTTTTGCAAAGATTTAACATGGACAAGGCCAAACCAGTCAGTACACCTTTGGCCAGTCATTTTTGTCTATCCAAGGACCAGTCTCCTCAAACAAAAGAAGAAGAAGAGTTCATGGCTAAGATTCCTTATGCTTCAGCCATTGGAAGTTTGATGTACGCGATGGTCTGTACGAGGCCAGACATTGGCCATGCAGTGGGAGTTGTGAGCAGGTTTATGTCAAAACCAGGAAAAGCTCATTGGGAAGCAGTCAAATGGATTTTGAGATATCTACGGGGCACAACAGAAAAATGTCTGTATTTTAGAAAAGGAGATCTAAATTTACAGGGCTATGTAGATGCAGACTTCGGAGGTGAAGTTGATCACCGAAAAAGCACCACCGGTTATGTTTTCACTGTCGGAGCTACAGCTGTTAGTTGGATGTCGCGGATACAAAAGATTGTTGCTCTATCCACTACAGAGGCTGAGTATGTAGCAGTGACAGAAGCCAGCAAAGAATTGATATGGCTTCAAGGATTGTTAGCAGAGTTGGGTTTCACTCAAAAAGAGAGTGTCTTGCACAGTGATAGTCAAAGTGCAATACATCTGGCAAAGAACTCAGTGTTTCACTCCAGAACTAAGCACATTGATATACGTTATCATTTCATCAAATCTCTGCTCGAGGATGAAGTGTTGACTTTGAACAAGATTGTAGGAAGCAAGAACCCTGCAGATATGCTAACGAAGGTGGTGACCATTGACAAACTGAAGTTGTGCTCAACTTCAGTTGGTTTGCTAGAATAACAGACCGGAGAAGACTACTGCAGTAATTGAGGTGTGAGGACAGATTGAAATCAGTCCTCAAGTGGGAGATTGTTAGCCATCAATTGTTGACAGCCGCCATTTTTTGACAATGAAGAGAGGCAGCCCTTAAAAAATTGCAGCAGCCCTCATGTTGATTTTTTTGTGGAAAATTAAGCACACACATATTGAAAAAGGTGTGCACTTCCACTCTATAAATAGAGATGGATTTCGATGAACAAAAGGCACCACAACAAAAAGAACCAAATACAGAGAGAAAGAGAGAAAAAAGAAAGGGAGCAGAAAACAAAAGTTTTAGCTACTGTGTGTATTTGAGTTGTGAGTTGTGAGTGAGTTTGATAGTGTTTGTAAACACGAGTGTTTTCTTTTCTCCTAATAAAATATCTGCAGTAGTCCGGAGACGTAGGCATTATTGGCCGAACTCCGTTATTAATTTGGTGTGTCCAATTTTTATTTTTATTTCACTTTTGTAGATCCGACTTCATGGAAATTTCAGCGTATTTTTCCCAACAGTTTACAACCGGATATAGCACAACATTATTGTGGTTTGTTCAGCTTCAGAAGCTACATTTTGTGTGTCAATTATCATGAGTTGAATAATTATACCAACAAGTAAATACGTGTAAGTTTGTAACTATGCTTTTTATGTCAAAGCTATTGCAAATTAATTCCCTCAGACAGAATATACGCTACAAAAAAAAAATGTGTATTATTAAACTCTACCTCAAATTTTCAAAAAAATTCCCTCTCTCATATTACTGTTGCTTATCTGCTTGATCTGTGTCCTTTTTCTTCAATCATTTTTAGAAAAATAAAATAAAATGTCGAGTGATGTCATTTTGAAACAGAGTCCGGGAGGTCCTCTCAGTTCCTAATCAAAGCCACATCATCTGAGGAGAGCGCTAGTGCTGTTGATGCCAATGAATTGTTCAATGAGCTGAAAGAAAAGGTAAATTATGCTCAAAACTCAAAATAATAATAAAACGAACGTGCACCTTTTATAGTACATCAACTTATTACATCAATATCGGCTGATTAATCTTGTTGTGATTCTATGTAGTGGGATGCAGTTGAAAACAAGACAACAGTGATTATATATGGCGGTGGTGCTATTGTTGCCGTTTGGCTAGCTTCCGTTGTTGTTGGTGCTGTCAACTCAGTTCCTTTGGTAAAACTCTTCGAAATTTAATAGTTTTTCTTTTATCCTTGTTTATAGTTAATCACACTATTCTACTTAAAAAACTTGTATAAATGGTTTGTTGAACTTAGTTTTAGTAGTTGATTATGGGTTCTTAGGAAGAGGGTTGGTTTATGTACAAAATTTTCAAAAAAGTAGTTATCCATAATCAGAAACACCTCCACCCTTGGATTCTAGATTTTACAGATGCTTAAATTCAGTTTCTTTTTACCAGCTAAAAGTGGAAAATTACATTGTCCTTTATTCAAGTGAGCCTTATAAAGTTTGTGGTTCGTTAAGTTATATATCATATCATCTAACTCAAGGCACTGTGTCTGTACGAATCGTGTCAGCTTCCAAAGATCTTGGAATTGGTTGGGCTCGGTTACACAGGCTGGTTTGTATACCGTTATCTTCTCTTTGAGGTATGATTATGAACTCGAAAGCTGCAATCTTTTCTTCTTCTTCTTCTTCTTCTTCTTCATGTCTCTCTCTCTCTCTCTATCTCTGTGTGTATGTGTGTGTGTGTGCGTGTGCTATGTGGACATTTTTGCTTAAAATTCAATCTACTTTAAGAAATCTAGTTACCTTTGAAAATTATGAATACCCGAAATTCTATCTATTGAAGAGGTACTTCGTTAAAATGGTACAAAAGGCTGTCTTTTACTTTTGGGTACCTAAATTTAAGCCCCAGGGCTAATTTTTACAGTTCCTCTTATGAAAAAAAAAAAATTGAATTTCGAGATTGCTTAACTACAAATGTCCCTCAAACCAAATGTCAAGAGTTCCTTAACATGATTGAAAGCTATACTGTATATGAAATCTTAGTGTCACACAGTAACATAATCTGAACATAGCATTTTGCTGTTGGTGTGTGTTGTCCAACTTGGTTTCGTGCAGTCGAGTAGAAAAGAATTGGCATCGGACATAGAAGCACTGAAAAAGAAGATTGCTGAAGCAGAATAAGAATGCACTGCCACGATATTTTCTTCAGTCTGTCGAAACCCCGGATTTGCCTAACTTCCGTATATTTTGTGTAAGAGGGATCATATGCCGTTGTATTGCATTTGAAAATAATGCTTCTTTGATTTATGCATATTGTTTTAACGAAATCCCACATTGTCTATAATAACATATCAGTGCTTTCACATACACAAGAATCATAGCATTATCCAATATGATTAAAAAAAAATCCTAGTTAAACTTTCAAGAAAATGAACTCAAGATTTAAATTATGAAGGTCTTTCTTTCACATATAAGCAAAGCTCAACATTAAAGCATCAACTAAAAGTCTGCCAGACATAAAAAAAGCTTAATCATGTATAAAACTTAAAATACATTACTAAACAAACAAGGGAAATCCCCTCATATATTTGTACTTTCATCACACGAGTATAATAAATACTTTCTCCAGTAATAGTAGTATTATTATCATCGTTATTGATTTTATTATAGATGTTGAGCACAAAGGGGAGGTTTCTTGAACTAGTAAGACGTTGAGATTTTCAGAGTTTGTCGATGTCATCATCCTCGAATTCGATGTAATCATCAGCAGGCCCATCATCTTCCTCGTCAAGCCCACCTGCAATGCCCTCGTTCAGTCTTGTGCCCTCTGGCAGCTCACCGTAAGCCTTCAACAACCGAGCCTCGTCAGCCATGTATTTCAGAATTACATCCGCTTTATCATCCTAAACAAATAAAAACCAAGAGATAATTAGACGAGTAAACAGAGATAATTAGATGAACAAATCACGACACAACTGGTAAACACACATGGAGATGGAGTGGAAGATAAAGAGATTTTCGTGTGTGTGTGTTTGTTCACTATGTACTCTCTCAAGAACTAAAACCAGAAGAGCAGCTGAAAAAATAGATAAAAGAATGAATAAAATAGCCTGTGAAAAGCAATCGTACACGATCAAAATTAGCAACAATCACAAGCTTCAATGTATGGTAAGTTTTGAAAGGAAGTACTGTTGATATCTGTACTTCCCTCATCTTCTACAGAATTCCCCAAATAATCAGACAAACAAAAACAGATAATTACGAAGAAAGATTCAAAAGTGAAAGAAGAGCACCAAATTGGAAGATCAAGGAGAAGAAAAAGAAGTATGTTACATTGAAAGGAAGTCCAAAAATTTGCACAGAACCTAGCCACACGAGTCAACTCATGATTTAAAAAACAGAAAATGTGACCAAGAGCGCATAGCATACTCAGAAACATAGTCGAACTATTTCAACAGCACAAAAAATCAACCCAAAATCCGAACAAGCTAAAGCCTAAATGTTGCACAGAACCAAACCATTCTAGTGAACTCATGTTTTGCACAGAACAAAACCATTCGAGTGAACTCCTGATTTGCAGAGCACAAAAGCAGGACTATAGCACAGTCGAACTATTTCAACAGCACAAAAAATCAACCCAAAATCCGATCAAGCTAAAGCCAAACGAGTTAACTCATAATTGGCACATAACCAAGCCATACGAGTCAACTCGTGATTTGCACTGAACACAAAAATAGGAAAAGAGCACACTCAAAATTTAGAAACGTAATCGAACTATTTCAGCAGCACAAACAATCAACCCCAAATCCAAACAAAACGAAAGCTTAAAATTAAAGCTCCCCAAAAAATCTACTCTTTCACACATAGAATTAACCTAAAATACAAAAGAAATCAAGCACCGGAAAATCAGAGAGGAAGCTGCGAAAACCTGATAATCGCGGAGGCCGACGAGGATGATATCACCGGCGGCGATCCAGACCTTCTTGTGCATCTTGCCGCGGATGTGACAAAGGCGTTTGACGCCGTCGATGCACATGGCTTCGCACCTGCCGTTGCCGAGCATGCGCAGCACCTGGGCGTACTCCTGGCCGTCCTCCTTGAACACGAGCTCCCTCTTCTCGTCGTCGGCCTCGTTCTTACCCCTCTTCCGATTCTTACCTCCCTTGCCCTTATTCTTCGGCATCTCGCCGGAGTACAGGAAACCCTAGATCCGACGGCTCTCCCTTTTTATCCGACGATTCTTTTCTTTATGCCTATCTTTTGGAAAAGAAAAATTATCGCAAGTGGTGCCTTCCCTAGGCACGCGTTTGCTTTATAGCCTTTTTCTTTTAGCTCTGTTTTTCTTTTTATAAAAATTTTATTTATATTTTATTGAAATTTGAAAGCAATATTTCATTTATCATTCTGCATTTTTTATAAAACATGTATCATTCTGTAGTAGTTAATATATTCCAATAAGGTTTTTTATTAACTTGTTTTTGTATATTATTGTGTACTTATTTGTACCATTTTATTATTTTATCTGTTCGAGTAATTGAATTTAGTGATATTCTAATTATCACATGGTTGCTGATTATAAGTTCTTTATTAGCTACATTTAATCAGTTACAGACAACTATTTTAGTATTCGGCGCACTAACTTATTTTAAAGAAAATTTGTAGTTATCCAACTTTCAGATAAATATGAATGGAAGTATTTCAATATAAATATGAATTATGATGGATAACATGAATTTCAATGTATCATCTGCATGACAAAATCAGGCCACTCTTGACAACACATTATTTTTTTACCATTAATAATTTATAAACACACAATAGCACAATATACCGACCTTTGTATCAAATTTAAGTCAATTTTTGTACCCAAAAAAAAAATAAAAATTAAGTCAATTTAGCATTTTTCATAAGATTATATAACCTTACTACTAGATTATAACTTTGGAAGTTCACCTGACAATCACTTTGTACTTGGGATCATCATATACACAAACGGAAGAAAACATAAATTGTAGCGAATGATCATCATATACACAAAAGGATGAAAACATAAATCACTTGGTACTTGGTAGCGAATGATCAGCAGATACACAAGGAAGAGAACATAAAATAGTAGCGAATGATCACCGTATACCTAAAAGGAAGAAAACATACGGACATTTTGCTTCTCCAAATCTCCTGTTTTTTGTAATATTCTTTCATAAAATAACATGGAGCAACGAGTAAATGTTGGTAAATCTCTGAAAATTTTTTCTTACAACTTTTTATGTATCAGTATTCAGTACCGACATAAACAGAAATTCATCTTGACAGTACATACAGCTGCAAATTGCACAGTGGGTTAACAAAAATCACGTCCACGCACGAATCACAACACATCTCCCAAAAGTACAACTATCTACAGCACGTCACACTCCCACAAATCGGCTAAAAACCCCAAAATACACAAAAAGAAAACCAAAAAAACAACTCAAAAACACAAATCAGTGCCTGATGGTAAGCTCGGCCCGCAAATGCAGCACCCCACCAATAAAATACAAACTGTCATCCGCCATGAACGAAGTCCACGGCACACTAAACAAATTCCGGTACCCAACAGCCTTACCACCCGTAAACGTGTAATTCCCTTTGTACTTGCTCACATAATCCTCCGTGGGCCTCGAGCGGGCGGCAAACTCATAATCGACCGCGAAGGTGACGGACCCTTTTTCTTGCATCCCAAGAAACAGCCCGAAACAGTGGTACGAGCCCTGCTGGTCCATGTTGCAGTGCGCGGACAGAAAAAACCCCTGCCCGCCCAAGTGGAACGCCTGCGAATAAACCCTCCCGGAGGGAAACAGGCTAGCGCACTCCCCACGCGTCAGGTCCAGGTACACCACGCACTGCTGACGTGGCGAGTCGAGCTCGACCACCTTGACGGGCCGGTACTTGTAGGCCCGTTCTGGGAGGAGGGCGAGGGCCCGTTGCCGGTGAGGGGGCTCGGATTTGAAGAAGAGGGCTTCGAGGACGACACGCGTGGCGTAGTCACGGTCGAGGTCGGGGCAGGCGAGGACTTTTTTCAGCTTGCGGCAAGTCATGTGGGGGAATCGGATGTGTGGGCCCACGCGCGAGGACAGGATTGTGCGGCGCTCGTCGGGGTCCGCGTGGTGGGTGCGGGCCCACTTGAGGGCGAGGTCGTAAACGGCATCCTCGGAGGCTACCTGGAGATCGTTGCTGGCAAGGATGGCTTCGATTCCGGCAAGGGGGAGTTTCATTATTTCATCTTGGTACCTGTTCAAGGTGAAAGCTTGGAAGTGTGAACCACCGTCAAAATGAAGCTAAGAAGATGAAGTTTTGAGCTCGATTTTGAAAATTCTTTTTATAGATTAATTTGGTGTTTTTGGTTGAGTTAATTTCGAAAAGGCTGATTGGGTTAGGTTTGAGTGGGATTTTGAGTTTATATTAAAATAATATCAAAATAAAATAATTAAAGTTTGTTTTGATGTAAAAGTAAGAGAGGTGTGAGTGAAAGTGATGGGTAGTTAAAATTATGTGGGTTGATGAATAATGAATTAAAATAGACGTGATGTCTGAGGATGATTGAGTTGATTTCAAATTTTAGGAGGTCATAGTTATTATAACCTTCTTTTTTCATGTTTTTTTCTTTGGTATTTTTTGGAATTGTTATTCATCCCTTGCTCTGTTTGGCAATTTAAATTATACCCCGGATTCTTTGCAATTCACCTTTGAAACAACTGGACATAAAACCAATAAAAAGAGGCATAAATCCACAAAAGGGGGAAAATCAGAGAACGGCTATGGAAAGAAAGACAAAACAAGGAATAGTATTCATTTCATCAAGGGTACTTACTTTGACACGTCTTTATAACGAGCAGCTAGGAACTGTTTGGCTGCATCGGTCAACGGTTGAACCGCATCAGCCATGAGTACGCTCGACGGGAGTTCCAGATAGAGTAAAGCAGATTCGGGAGTCATAGGCAGATTTCTTAGGCGGCGGCTGCAATATCTCATGCAAGAAGCCACCTCGAATTTGTCGGCAGCCATGAGCACATCGAGTAGAGCAGTAGTTGTATTGGCAGCCAAGGTATTGCTATACATGAAATTCAGGAGCTCCATAAGAGCATTTTCCTCTGTTTCACAGGGAATCGAGTTAGCGTATATTTTAGGCAAATTTTAGGTAAACTTAATTGCATGAATCAACTGTTTACATACCCGAGGCACTAATTCTCAGAGTTACATGTCTCTGATCTGATTCCATCATACCGTTTGAGAATAACTGGAAAGAATAGGAAAACAAAAGGAACTCATTTAAATCTTAGAAACAAACGAAGAATGAAATTACCATTAAAAAAAGGGATAAAAGTACCTTATAAAAAAAGGGACTCTTTGCTGCTAAGATGGGAGAACTAATATGCAATGTTTTAACTCTTAAAACTGTTGCACAGTCTTCATAACAAGTGGTGTCATCACTGTTTGCAAATTCGTCTACTGGGGACAAATAACATGTGTTCCAAATTCAGAAAACAGACACGATATGGAAAGCTAATGCTCCACAAACAATTGCAATTTAACAGACATGCAACTTGATATGTCCTCTTACATGTTAGAATATTAACATGTATGGGATGGTCAACGAGAGAAATGTAGTATGATGGCTTGGGTTGACAAACGAGAATTTACCTGGTGGTGAATCTTCTATCATGGGAATCTCTTCTTCATCGTGATTCTCATCACAAATGCCGTCATTGCCATCATCGACATCTGGCTGCTGAGAATCTAAGATCTGCTCCTCAGGACAATTGTTGATATCCAATGCTGCAAACGAGGGGCACGTGTCTGATTAAGATGAGCGAAAAACATAACAGCATTAAGAATTTAGTAGTAGTAAAAGATGCATGTGAGGGAAAAAGAAAGGAAAACACAACAATTTGACCAACTCATACTCATGCCTCGCAATTAATCTAAACTAAATCCACTGCACTTTAAACAATGCTTTAAATACAGAATTTAAACATAAAGCACACCATGATTCAAGCACACATTTTTCAATAATCCAACTCCACAAATGAGCCGGTGAAGCTTGAACAATACATCTCACAAATTTTCTATAAAGATGGCTGACGTCAATCGAGCCGCCAAACAGGGAAAACACAAACAGGCTGTTTACCCTGTTGATTGATCACATTCATTTCTGGATGATTCTGTTGGACAAACCACAAACATGTTCGTTACATTATGTTAAATTTACTAACATCCCATATACAACCAATTCATCCGTAATATAAAACATACTTGCCAAACCTGAGATTCAGCTATATCTAAAAGCTAGTTTGAGCTTCACACACTAGAGAATAAGAACTTCAAATACCTTTTCGTTGCATTTACAGGAAAAACACAGCTCGCTAGGTCGAGTAATTGCACAAAAAATGTGCAAAAAAAACCATCAATTTTATTCTTCAATTTTAGCTAGGGTATCCTTTCAAACCCAGCTCACCCATATTCTAAAATCCCATAAGAAATGCAATGGCAATACAGGCTCGTTCCCATAAAAACTCACGCAAAACCTAGAACTAACAAACCAAAATCACCAAGCAGGTCGACTGGAAGCAGACTCACCATTCCCCTTTTTCTCATCAAGTTGTCGTTTGCTCTTTCTCGCCGCCCAATCAGCCAGGGTCCGGCTGCCCTCCGGTTCCGATTGGCCGTCGGGCGGATCGGCGACAATCTCTATTTGGAGGAGCCGATCGGAGAAATTGCTGTCGTTGAAGGCGAACCCGAAGTCCGGGTCACGGCCGCCGGTCGGAGACGAGCTTGAGTCCGACTCCATTGCGGCGGTCCTCGGGTCGAATAGATCCAAACCCCAAGGCATCATCAACCTCAACCGCTCTCTCTCTCTCTCCAAACAATGGAAAAGCTTCTCGTTATCTACTGAAAAACAATGAAAGGCAATTGGAATTTGGAAACGCGAGTTTGGGAAGAAATGAGCGTTTTTTTCCAACTTATAAAAGTCCAGTTGTTTTGAAATTTTTATTTATTTATTGCTTCCTCATTTTCAATATAAAACTTTGCCCAAATTGTTGTCTAACTGTTCAATATGTCTAACAAACATAAATTATTTTATCATTAGTTTAACCATTAGATGAGTCAATCTTTTATATTATTAAATATATATACTTATGTTATTATGTTACGACATGCCATTTTCTTAATATTATGTTTACAAAGTATAATATTAAAGTATACATATTTATTAAAAAATTAAAATGGTCTAACGGGTGGTCTGCCTAACTATTCGAATATGGATCTACCTAACAGAATAGTTTTAGTATATTTTTTGGTACTTTTGAGTAAGTGTTACCATATTAAATTAAATAATTAATTAATTAACATTTTCCTAAGCAATAATAGTGTTGTTATTTATTCTTATCTTAGTGATAAAAGTTGAAAGAGTTTATCTAGCTATGTCTATTGTTTACCCCATAATCCACGACAAGAAAAGTCGAATTATGAACACAATTTCAATTGCTATTGGTGGTCCATTAAAATTAGCTTATTTTCAAGGCAACCATGAAGTTGATGGTAATTTGTCCTTTGAAGCCTTCATGGTCAAAAGTAAGGTTATTTAGCCACCACATTTTGCGCGTCAAATTGACGTTCGTGGACTTTGCACATTCAGTGAACGATTAGCCTATCAAATTAGATGAATATTTCTTTCTTTTCCATTGAGTTATTTATTGTTGTTATAATTAGGGCTACACAAAGAATGGAGGGATACTAGAGCCTTCGAGTCAAAGCTCGATTGCACAAGTCGAGCCGAAATTCAACTGAATGCTAGTCAAGCTCGAGCACCTCAAACTTGAACTCAAATATGACTGGTATAAGCTTGAGTATTTGACCAACTCAAATATAAGTATAATTTACATAAATACCCCTAACTCGAGCCAAATTCTATAAGAATTTGAACTGAAGTTGAGCACTTGTAAATTCTTGTCTAATCGAGTCAAGCGGTGAAATNTTTGCAATGCATATCAAGTTAGATTTTTTGGGATAAAGTTGTGATGATGCACGTTTGGACTAGTTGCAAGAAAAGTAAGCTGATTTTTAAATTACAAATATCAGGAATCACTTGGAAAATGTGGCTTGTTCAAAAAAATCTATCAAATGAAATTTGTAAAACACGGACAAATATCAAATGAAATTTTATGATTATTAGATGGATTTTAGATCTCAATTTTCGCAGTCTAAACGCAAAGTCAAACATAACATGGAATTCTTCACAACCCAATGGAAAAGATAATAAAAGACCATATGTCCCCATATTCAGAAAGAAATCAATAAATCAACACGACCAGCAAATTTGAGTACCATTTGTCAATTTGCTTTGGTGGTGAGAAGTTTCCAAATAACTTCGTTGGAAGTTCCTTAAACTTTATGAAGAGTTTATTATGTAAGGAAGGTTATAATATAACGGGTCGGGTCGTAACATAACAAATCCGATGAAATGCTTTCATACTCTAACGTTATACTTAAAAACACGATATAAATAAAAGTACGAGATTTTATATATTACAATATAAGTATCCATTTTTTTTTATCAGAAGGTAATGGCTAGGTAGCCCAACAGTAGTATTTGTGAATCTCTCATTCAAAGTTGATAATGAATAAACCTCTAAATACAGGGCATTTTTTTTTTTTTAACGATGCAGAAGTTTTACCTTTTGTCTATTGCAAATGGAGCTGAAAGAGTCATTGTTGACAATTCTCCTGGCATAGTGCTAATAATGGACTAGATCAAAATGGCTCAATTAAATTCTAGTGCTTCTTCTATTAGTGAAGTTTCTAGAAAAAAAAAAAATATATATATCAAACGGCGCAATGCACCTTGGGTCGCCACGAAAACAGCCTCCTTGTATAATTACAAGGGTAAGGTCTGCGTACAACTGACCCCCCAAACCCCAACCTGTTGGGAATATGCTGGGTATGTTGTTGTTATGTGTGTGATGTAGAAGTTTTACCGAACTCCAAAGTGAAGGATAGTTTTGTCTATCGAATGGTATAGTTTATGAAATTCATGCAAAAAGTTCAAAAAATAAACAGAAAGAATTGTGAATCAAACATCATAAAACATTACGTAAATTACCCATCCTTTGATTCAAGACTGCTATATATATATATATATATATATACCTTTAATTATCTGTGAACCTTAAAAGCATCATCCTCTAAGAGGGCTCGTAAAGGCCCAGCACATGCCCATCAGCACATTTCATTGCCGCCACCTGTAAAATGCAACTATATATTGACTAGCAACAAACTTATTTCAGAAAATAAAGATTTTGAAATTTAAGGTTTAAATGTTTCATGGTACAGTAGGAAAATATATAGTAATGCAGCTACAGGGAGTACTCTCTGTAAATAGAAACTCGAGATAGAAGCCTTTGGAAAAGAGCGTATTTTCTTGAGTAAGAGTAAAGCTTTAGAAAAGCTTATTTGTTTGTGAAATTTGAAGTGAAGCAGAACCTAAAATACAATGCAGTGTCTCCCAACTAAATTTCAATAAAACATGCCGCAGCCAAAATGCGACAATCACATTTTTGTAGTGATTGGAATTCAATTCTTCCTATAATCATTGAACATTAAGCGATCACGAGAGATAGTTCATAGAAAATAAAAAATTACCTTCCCATGGATTTCGTATTTAATTGGCCCATCCAATTCTGCGCCCAAAGTCATCAATTTTGTCACGGTACTATTGATGTCAGTAACTGTAAATGATAGCAGAGATGAATAACCCTTTCGCTCAACATTTTCACTGAAAAGCAGGTAAAAAAGTTATTTCCCTCAAAGAAGATAAAGGATTAAGTGGTGGACAAAATCTTAATACTCAAACAAATCACTTAATTTGCATCTCATTAGGTCCTCACATTTCACTATACAAGGATTAGGAGCTAGCTTATCCATCTTATTAATACAAAGGTAACAAAGTTTAGCTATGAAAAGCTGTCCACATATGTTCTGCGTCTAAAGCCAATATATCGACTCTATATATGAACCAAAATTTTAGGCTAATCCAGCATTCTCCAAATCAAAATCACCAAAACAAATGTTCCGCATCCACAAGTTGAAAACTTTGATGTTCTATACAAAAAGTGATTTAACTGGAGCATTAGTCACGGGTAAGTCCTAACCAATAACCAATGTTTCGTCAATTTTATGTCCCACACGATTTCAAAGCTTTTTGGACCCCAACTATTCATTGAAGCCAAGTGAAAGGGAAGATGAAAAATGTCGAAATAATAGCTTGGAAAAAAAAAAGGAGCTATGAAGGACGGATTGAGCATGATATTATGAGATCCATACTACAAAAGAAAATCACAATTCACAATGCTAAAGAAACTAAAAAAGATAAAAAGAAAAAACACAATTGATCATAGTTCTAAAACATTTAAGTCATACTTTTCTTCCCAAATTCCAAGTACCAATCATAAAAGCATAAACACGAATTCTTGTATGAGGCGACCAAACGATTAGGCGGGTAGGCCTATCAACAAAAAAATGCATACTTCTGTATGAAATGTCAATAATTTTTGTGTATACTGTTGTTACCAAACAGAAATCTTTCTAGCATTACCATTCTCGAATATTCAAAAATCCTTTGCCCATGAATTTCAATATCAGAAGTACAAAATTAGGAATCCCCAACACTTGCGACTTTTCACAAATGCATTTACATTTGCATAATCAAACAAAGCACCACCCTTTTATAGCATTATACGCAAAACTCGTCAACCAATTGCCTTAATTGAACAACAAAAACTGAAATTTTCAGAAACCCCAAAATCGACCTGGGAGAATGCAGGAGCGCAAGTTTGAGCTGGCCGGAATGAAGCTCGGCCCACCGGAGAGTGCAGACGTTGACGGTGAATCCCAAGCCCTCGGAGTAGAATCTTGCCGCTTTGGGGACGTCTTTGTGTAGCTGCACTAAGTACCTGAATGACGCTGCCGCCATTAGCGCGACTTACACTTGCTCTGTGTATGCTGTGACAGAAAACACAGTTATCGAAACATCGGACTGAAAGTCGTGTTGCGATATTATCACGCTTTTTAAGGTTTTGTATAAAAGCGACCTGCCCAGTGGCCACCAAGGATCTTTCATGTGGGCCGGGTTTTTATTGAGTAAAGAATAGAACCATTCATATGCTCGGCTCATTAAAATTTAAGTCCAGATCATCAAACAGGTCGAGCTCAAGCTCGTTTAATAAAATTTTATTTGTTGTACTAAAAGAAAAAATAAAAATATTTGTTAATATTCGTTATCATATCGTTTTTGTTTTTCACTATTGTGTTTTTATGTTATCCTATAGTATCTATATATATATATAATAAGAATTACTATTTATAAAAAATAGTAGCAAAAAAATAGGTCAGAATTTAATGCAGCCTATAAATAATAAGTTTTATTGATTTTCTTATTTTTGTTTTTAAAAATCATACAACATTAAATGCTACCTTAACTTTCGGACTTTAGTTCATTTTATTATTTAAAAAATCCGGTTAAGATTTATTAAGTGGGTATGTTTTTAATTTTATTTTTTTCATAGAAACAACGAACAACATTAAAATCTCGGTCTCTATATTTATAAAATCTCAATTCGAAATATAACAAAAGTTTAGAATCTCGGTCTTTATATTTGTGCCTTTAAAAAAAATATTGAACGCTAAAAATATTATTTAAATTGCATAATCAATCAATCAATTAATCTTAATCTTTTTAAAAATTTATTATGTTTATTTTTTTCTTAATATGAATAAAGTAAAAATAATTAATTCATCTTTGGACATATAATTTATAATCTTAATATACTATCATCTGGTGTAGACATTTTATTATATGAATCATAAAATATTTTTATTTCATAAAATTTAATGTATTTAAAGAAAATTTCTTCGGATCAACCGGGTGATTGAATTAGGGTACAGCCTAGGTTAATTGAATTACTTTTAGGTGATATTTAAAATAGTAAAAAAACTTGACACAACTTCGTTGATCCCAGGTGACTAAGTTATGTATCCGTTCGACCACATCAAATCGATTGAACCTAAATATAAATTTTATATTGAAAATATTTTATTACGTGAATGTGATGTAGTTCAAACTTCAAATAATCGTATTAACAATATTTTTATGACAACATGTTTAATGATTTATGAATATTTATATATCATTTTATTATTATTTATGTGATTTAAATAATGTTTTATTATAATATTTATTAATGTACAGTAAATATAAAATTTTCAGAACTAGACCGTCATCGAAATGATCAAGCTATTTTATTAAATCATTTGTGGTTTGTTCAGATTTTAATTTATAAACATTTTAATATACATATATATATATATATATAGTACTTTATGTAATACTTTTAAATAAAATGTGTTACTTAGATATCTAAACAATTTACAAATTCAAATCCTTAAACTAATTGATAAATAATTTATAAAACTCTATTTTATTTAAATATGTAATTTATTTAAAATAATTTTAAATTATAACAAAATTTATTTAGAAAATCGTATCTATCCTACCAGTCCAACTGACTGGTGTTGACGATTCGAGAGCAAATGTTTTATTCAAGCAAACTAAACTGGTTATAAATCGATTCTCGGTCTATCCGGTCGGATTGTGTCCAACCCGATTTAATTTAAAAATAATGAATAAATCATGATTAATGTTATTTATATATTTAATTTATAATACAATCGTGATATTGTTTTCCCGTGCATTGCACGGACCACGCTCTAGTTATTTTACCATAAATATAATAATAAGCCAAAATCAACTCTTTTGTGTACCTTAAAACACGCACCAGAAATGCTGACAACATAACATTCCAGACTTTCAGTAAACAAACACATAAGAACTAAAAATCTTCTAAAGCATACAAGTAAAATTTCTCATAAACTGCCAAAAATAAGGGGAAGAACCAATATATCTCACACAGCAAAGAACGAAAAGACAGTGATGACCTCTGCTTACAAATGTACAGAATAACCTTAATCTAAACTCCAAATTCCTCTCATAAAACTACACTTTTTCATGCTTAAAAACTCTAATCGCCTCTCGACGAACTTCTAGAAGTCCTCGCCCGGCCCTCTAATCTCGCCTCTATCAGTTTAGCTTTCAAAGTATTCGGTTTGACGCCTTTCGACCATCTCATAGAAGAAGAAGACTCCCCCACATTTGGGTCAGCTGCTGACACCATAGAAACCCACTTCTTAACTGGGCTCGATGGGCCCGTAAACATAGCCGGGTCGAATGGGCCTTCCACAAAATTATAGCATGAGTTTCTTTTAGTACTACCCTCTCTATCTAAATTCGTGTCTTTCATACTATTCCTTCCTTCCCTTATAGATCTTCGCATCGTGTGGCTTTTTCTACGCATTTCCAGATCACTCATGTCCCTTTTCGCAGTTAAATTCCCAAAATGCCCTTCCCACCGATCTTTTTCGAGATTTTTTGTAAGGGATTTTTTTTCCCGAAGAAAGGCTTCGATTTCGGGACACAGCTTATCCAGTGGCGATTGCTTTTCCGAAAAATCCCGAGCGTCCTCGAGCTTCGACTGGGCTCGTTCGTCCAGCCATGCTTCTGAAATGTGGAGGATAAAACGGTCATTTTGTCCTTCGTGTAGAATTTGATCCCCCGAGTTTTGCTTCACGAGCCGAACCTCTCGTTCGTAGTCTCTTATTCCCTTGGCAAACTCATCGCACAAGTCCTCGAGCAGTGCCCTTGCTCTCTTCTCACGTTCGAGTTCATTCGTAACCTGGGAAAATGACGATTTTAACCCTGAGAGCTCACTGGCCAGCTTGAGATGCAATTTCTCATCTTTAGTTCGATCTTGATCCTTTTTCCTGATGGATTTCAGTTCCGTTATTCCAGCAGTTAGAGTGCCGATTTTACTTTGATCCCTTTTTTTGTCCTGCAGCAGTTCTTGAATTCGGGCCTGGGCTTGCCCGAGCTCGCCTTTTAGAGACTTGACTAAAGACATGTCTAGGGCGTGCTTTTCCTCGAGGGTCCAGATTCTGTTGAGAACTTTGAGTAATTCTGTCGATGTTTTGAGGCCTTGGGCCGAGTCTTTAAATTTACCGTTTGGGGTTAAGGAGCCATTTGGGCTGAGTGTAGCTCTGTGGGGAGCCATCTAAGAGTGCAGTGGAGAAANAAAAAAAAAAAAAAGGAGCCGTTTTTTGAAGTTGAACACAACAGAAGTACAAAATTAATACGACTATACGAGTAAAATTTAACAACTACAATAAGTTTTTCTAACTTAACCTGAAAAAAAATTATATCAAGATTCTGATCTATGATGGGATCCAAGAATATATTTTTTTTAATCGGGAATATTGAATTTTTCACTAGATCCCGAAGCTAAATCATTTTCAAGCATCGCATCTCCTTAAAATACTCAGAATTACCATGAGATCAAGATTTACGATGATAACCAAGAAGCTCTAAACGTACCTCCATCGAGCTACAGTAGCTAGCAGGAGATAGAGGCGGCTGGCCTTGCCCGATTTTCTCCACTCTCGGATTGTGTTGTGCGGCCGATGATTGTTTAAGTTGCTTTCTCAGACTAATGCCGTTTATTGGCTGTAAGAATAGAGAATGAAATATGAGCTGATCAAGAAAAGTCTCGTCTTGATTCGAACCAGATGGTGAGTATCGATTAACTCTCATCAATATACACGTGTCTAAGGAGTAAATACTAAATACCAATGATGAAAATCGGTTAATACGATTACATTGTTTTTTCAGTTTTTCAGTGAAGTTTTACCATTCTAATGTTTCTGGTTCATAAGACCCCACCTTTACCAGATTAACTATAAAGTATAAGCACCAGCTAATATATACTGCTGTATGTAAGTGAATCTCAAAGTAAAAAAAAATCTCTCCTTGTAAGTTGTAGCTCAAAGTGGCACTACTCACCCATGAGTCTCATAATTTCTTTCAGTTTGATAAAAAGACTGAAAAAAAAAAGGGAAAATTAAAATAAAGTCAACCCCAGTTACAACCAAAACTAATTCAAGATCTAAATTAAACCCAGTTAAAACCAAAACCATAATCTCTACACACCTTGAAAAGAAAATATCACAAGCAAAAACCATACAACAGACATTAGCCAACAGCACAAATACCCCCAAAGCACAGAAGATTCAGCTAACAACACAAATACCCACAAAGCACAGCAATACATGAAAACACACAAGACAATCAAAATCCCAAGATTGTCTTTTTTTATTCTTTCTTTCTTTCTTTTGGGCCACAAGATCATATGCATGCACTACAAATCAAAATAATCAGACACAAATTTAGAAGTTCCCAAAAACTTTCAAATTCTCACCTGCTTTGAGGGGCTAATAATAGCTTCTTGTGCCCCAAAAACATCATCTTGCCCACTTTTGGTGCTCATCTTATCATCAGCCCTGAGATTGAGCTGTGCCTGCATTTCCCACAGATTGGCACCCAATTTCCTTGCAGACAGTATATTTCTCGAGTCTATGGCTTCTTGAAATAACCCAAATTTCCATGTGGGGGAGGGCGTAGAATAACCCTCCCTTTTACCCACCAAAATCCCTAGTTTCAACTTTTCACTCATTAATTCAACCTTTTCTCTCTCATCCTCCTTTACTTTTTCCTCCCTGTCCATGTCCTCTCTCTCTCTCCCTGAAGAATTCAAAGTTTCAAACACCTTTTCTTTTACCAAAT